GGAAGTAATTACAAAAGTTTTTATTTTTTTAAAATTGTAATTTTTCGCAAAATCAAAACTTTTGAGTGCCCCAAGTTATCAAATTCACTTGTAAAGCTATTTAATGATTATTTGAAGTTATATTGACAAAGTCTGCAAAGCTATTGCTGAGAATGATGAAGTTTGATCGCATATCATTTTTCTAGATGACTGAAATGAAACAATAATTCTGTTCACGTTGTTAGTTATTCATGTTTGAGATTTGTTTGTTTATCTTGAACTGCGGTCTTCTCAAAAAGGAGAAGGAGTTCCTATCAAATGTGACAGTGTAGTGGTTACAGAAGTAGTAAATAGTTATTATCTTCAAAAATATCCATGGTCAAAGGGTCTTACTAAAATAGTCAAATGGATGTACTCAACATTAAAATTTTTGAACTTATAAGTTGAGTGGTAGTATCATTATAAATGATATTTCTGATGTAGAATATAGAAATCTCATCAGCATTTTTAGATGCATTCATGTGTTATGATGTAAGCTTTCTGTGAAATGTAGTGCATCATTATGAGATGAGTAATGTCAATATTCACTTATATTTCTTAAACTATGTTAAATTTTGCTAGTTGTTATATTGTTTATGATAATAATAAAGTTTTCTATCATTGGTCAACTCAAGATGAACTGCTTATTTTCAAGAATAAAAATTTATAATGCGCTAAATTTCAGGTGTTGTGGAATATTGAAATTAAAGTGTAAGGGAAGCAGGGCGCTGTTGGTATCTCTTCGTTTTATCAGTGTCTGAACTGAAATCTTTTGCTGTTGTAACATTGGTGCACGACATCTATTGATTTGAACTCACTATCTCGAAAGTATTTATGCTTAGTGTCAGCATTATTATTGATATATCAAGACTGATATTTATTTAATTTTACTGAAGATTTATATGATTTATTTTAGATTTGTAGTATGGAGGGTGCGAGCCATGTAGTTTTTGCAGTTACTAATCATATCGCCAACATTGCATTATTAGCGTTTATGGCATTAATTTCTCCGGAAAACGGTATTAACTTTAACATTTTTAAAACCAGAGAAACCAAAATATCTTTAAAGTTATATTGATTACTTCCAATTTTTCTTTGTGTCATATATGTAAATACATGGGAAAGAAACTTAATAAAAGAACTAAATATATCGTGACATTGATCATTTTGGTATCGACGAATTTGTAGGTAGTCGATTTATGGGGACTTCTGCCAAGTGAAACTACTTCTGTCTATATATTTTGTCTAATGCCAATTTGTATATGGACATTCGTGGAATTTAAAGATATACATTTCAGAAAAATATGAGTGAAAGATTTCGTTTCATTGCAGAGTATTATCTGTTGATCATAAACTTCCATCGGATGTCTTAAATCGCCATGATACTGCATTGCAAGATAGTGTCGGGATGTATAATGAGATAAAACAAAAGGGGACCTACAAGTATGCCTTTTTTTATTTGGATATGTAATGAGAACACTTGCGAATTTAAATAACTTGATAAATTTTTTATATTGAATGTTTCTAAAATTAGTTAATATATTAATCCTTTATAATTAAGTATAATAGAATTATTAGTGTTGCAATAACAAATTTTGGTCATATATGGTTACTGATAATTATGTAAAAATATCATGACTTTCGCAATAATATCAACGTTTCAGATTTTTCTTATGTTTTGTGCAAATTTGCATTTAATGAGTTATATTTAAAAATTATATTGTTTATTTTGACAGACTTGTAAAATTTGCTCGTGAAAAATCACATCAAGATTTTGCACGAGTAAAACTAGTACTTATCAACAATAGCAGTCGATTATTGAAATGGACTCTTAGATCTGTCAGCAATGCCATACAGGTTACAAAATTAAGGACATTTTTTTAATATTTTATCTTTCATTTAAGTTTAATTTTGTGGCAGTAAAATTAAACTGCTATATCAATAGTATTTTATTTTTATGGTACTTCATTATGTACTGAAATAAATGTACGCTGTGAAGTATCATAGAAATAAAATATGATATGTTTTTGTGACCGGTATTAGTAACTGAAGTCTCGACATTTCTATAAACTCAAAATAGTATTTACTAACAAACACTCTATGCATATATTTGTACTCAATAATAGCAGTGTGACCTCAGCTCCATCTGATTACATTTTGAAATTAGCTAATAGCGAGAACTTCGAAAATTTTTAAATTTGAGAAAGTATGAACTACTGTTTTTACGCAAAGGTTTAATTCTGGTTAACTGCCCTTAGGTGATTAACAAAAACAGTTTACATCCTTTTTCCTTTCCATTTTTTGATGTTCTTCATTGTTATGCAAGAACAAATAACTTTGGACATGTGAAAATGTGTTCGAGCAATAGACATGATCCAAAGAGTTCTCTTCCAAAAAAATAAAGTTTGCGCCTTAAAAAATTAAGTTTTGTATTATAATTTTTGCATCATTTAGGCTTATCCAAAAGGAAGTGGTGAAATAGAAATATATAGTAATAACGAATGTATCTTGATCTGGCGCCGTCCGAAAGAATTCAACTCTTGGCGTGAGCTAACTTCACTAAAAATGATACTCCAAGTTAAATTAGTACTTCCTGAAACTGGTAAGGTTGTTGGGGAGACAACCAGAAAGTTTAAAGGTATCATAGATTTGTTTTCTCTGAAGTATTCAGAGAATAACGGTAAAACTGTTGCAGCAGTTGTTGATCCAGAATTAGTTTGTACCGCTAATGATCCGCCAATTCATAAAATGATTTTAAATTCCGAGCATTCAAAAGCAGTATCTGGAAAACGGAAATCCAGGTCTTTTTTTTTCTATCTTCAAACATTTCGATTTAAAATTTCATGAGTGTCTTTATTCATATTTTGTCTTCGGTTTGAGTGGTCAAGGTAAGTTTAAGAAGTAATGCTGAAAATGTGATCTAAATGTGATACATAATCATATGTTTTAAAATTGAGGCAAAAATATATTTTACAGAAAGAAAAAAAGCAGTGTAAGTACTACTGTTGATGGTGGCACTAGTGGTAATGCAAATGTGCAAGCATCAAAAATTACGAGCAAAACGGGTGCACCAAATCAAGGGGACATGTCTTGGCTTATAATTGTTTTAGTGATTTTATTGGCTACTTTCTGGCTTAAACTTCTTACTGTAGATAAGGATTCAGGACTGTGACATTCGTATATTTTTCGTTTCTTTCAAAATTTTTATTTTGATGGAACTGATACAGTGTAAAGGAAATTGTCTCAAAAAGTATAAATTTTATGAGCGTACAGAATAAATATCGAGTTATGACAACGCACGTGGTACTTCTTTGGTGCCTAGTTGTAGGTGAAAAATTGCAGGTGCATTAAAATAAGATCATCCAGATATTGTAATAAATGATTCCAGTTGAAGTATTTTTAGGCTTAAATGCAGAATATATTTTTCAGTGCTTTCACATCAGACGGATTCTTAAAGCACTTCATCATAAAAAAGTCGTGGTTACAGTTTTTTAATCGAATAATTCAAGTATTGAAATTGAGTTTTCTTTATAAAGTTTTTGACAATGCTGAGATCGAAAGAAATAACAAAACACTCATGTGTAGGTAATAATTGGAATCATGCTTCCAGTTTTCTTTGATCTGTGTCAGTTAACAAATATTGAACAGAAATATTGTGTCGCATTTTTAGTTTGCTGCAGTACTTTATGAATTTGCAGACTCACATAATAGCGCAAGTGTAGTTCATTCCGTATTAACCTTGACAGTTCTGAATTTTATTTGAAACTAATGCAGGTTTATTCATGTTCTTTGTAATGTAAGAATTTTATTTGTATTGGTTGTGAATTGTAAATGCATCCATGATTGCCTATTTTCTTTTTTAGGATTGTACTTTTTATTGTACAGAAAATTTTATCAATTAATAATAAACTACTTATATCCAAATTACCATGTGTTAGTCATGGACCTCGTGGTGTAGCGGTTATCACATCTGTCTAACACACAGAAGGCCGGCGGTTCGATTCCGCCCGAGGTCATGTCCAGTCTTTGAATGGTCTTAAGACATACGAGACCTGCTTTCCGTCGCACTTTTAAACTCCTCAACAGTAAGCCGGGCTTTTTAACCCGTTTACCTTGCAGGAAAAATGTGAAATAACGGAAAAACCACATATTTCTTTCTCTGATTGTAGCAAATTTTATGCGGTTAGTTGGAAGCTTCGTGTCTTTTTCTTACTGAAGCAATGAAAAAATATACGAACCCCTACAACACCCCCCTTTGGCGCTCAAATAAAAAGCAAAATATCCCTCCGTTTCTATAAAGCGTTCGATTCTATCTTTGAAATAAGTACCCAAAGATTTATAGATGTCTCATTCTACAACAGCGTGACTTGTACTATTCTTTTGGACTTTAATTTGAATACAGAATTGTTATCATTTACTACGAAATAGAGCAGTGCAGACCGCTATCGTTCGATGATAGAGGCCATATGACCCAGCTCAAATAAGCATTTGATATCTACCTTGACACGTCCTTTCTGTAACATGTACAGTGTCACATTCGTAGTCACGTCATGCAGATATTGTATTGTTGTCATTTCCCACTCCACTTTTAACTTACCCATGCAGAACTGCTATGACCTCTAGTCGTATCAATTCGTTTCTGATAAAATAAAAGGTGAACTCACCTATTCATTTGTATTACATTTTAAAACAAGTACAAACAGCAACTTCATTTTTTTTCCAATAATTACATATAGGATTGTTAAGATATAAAAACACTTCATCTGTCAGAAAAACTGTGGTGAAACACAAAAGCAGGTCAACAATAATATTTTAACTTGCTTTTGTGTAGCCCACAACAAATAGGATCATTAACTGATAATTTGTAGTACAGATATCTATGCACTAAGAGCATGTCAAAACCATGTTATATCATACAACGAAGAAAACACTCCTGAGTACATCATTTCCTTATCACATCTCACCATTGCACACACACAGTTATCTCTTTTACCATATGAAAACGTTTTTGCATATTTATCTAACAAAATATGATACAGCACTATTAAGCATCAAGTAATAACATCAATCCCCTTTGTGATTACATATTTCTCTAGCACTACTATTTAAATCATTACTACATCATTCTTTCGACGGAACTCACCACAACCCATTCGGTAAAAACGATCCCAAACATTGTGACAGCACAATTAGTCAAACAATTGGCAGATAAGCAACAACTGGTAAAGAAACCATGAATTTGAGGTACATTACAAGAATTTCCAGAATACCCTCTGCAAAAAGAATCAATTAGCAAACATCGATCTTCCAAAATAATCTTCAAATTATTTCTTAAAAAATGTGCTGCCAAGAATATGCCTCAAAGACATGAAGAATCCTGAAGTAGCTCAATCGGCCAAAAAAAAGCCTTTTAATCAAAATCCCTATCTTCCAGATATCGATATTCAAATGTAAATTGCTCTTTTTTACGTTGAGACCATTTTTCGTAATCGAAATACACATATGTACCCTGTAAAATGCATTAAATTATTTATTGTATCAGATAAATTAGCAAAAATGAACACTTTCGACACATTAAATTAATCATCAAACTGTAAACAATGATCATGTTTTAAATATAATGATATTTCGTGTCCAGATAGTTATTAAAAAACAATTTAAAAATTGAATTTCACTAAATCGCACTTGTTCATAGTCATCAGTTATTTGCTTTGGTTCTTCATGTCGCTGAAACCACATCAAGTATTTTGTATGGAACCGCCACGAAAGTTTTTTTAGTGCTTTAGCTGCCAATATTTGCGCACGAGAACCCTAAAACTAAATATTCTTTACCTATTTGGTAACAATCATTGGCTTTGAAAAGATTTAAATATAAGATGTATAATAGTAACCTCCATATAATAGAAAGCGAAGAAGAGTGTTTCCGGACTTAAACGGAGGTAGTACTCTAAAGAATCAGCGTTGGCTGGAGGCGACTGAGGGTAATATGATGGAGTACTGCATGGCATTTTGGGCAAATAACTTCGAGGTTTTTCAGAATCCATTGGTAGTGGCATTCTTAACAATGCATGCTCTAATAATTTCAATTGCGAGTCATACTCTGGTATTGGTGGCGCACGACCCAACGGTGATGCCCCAAGCCACGCTGGTATCATAGCCTGTAGTCACTTATCTGGAGATAACAGATTCCATGGTGTGGTAATAAATAAAAATTCTGAATTCGGTTTGTAAGAGGTAAGTTGAATGTGGCCATAAGAATACTGTTCAAAAGAATTCACTGACAATATTTTCTAGAATTTTAGAGCGAGTGAGTTATTTTCTGCACCAACAATAATACAAAAATCCCATTCTGCTAGATGTAGCATTGTTTCCCTCAGTGAATACATTTGGAATGAGAATAAACTACTCAGTAATTTAATCAAACAGACAAACTAAAAGGTTGATGTATTGCACTACCGAAGATATCTCTCATTTTTAATACAAATTCTTCAAATAGCAATCATATGTATTTTTTCTACCTTTAAATACGCACTTTGCAACTAACAGCTACTGGAAAAATTCTTTGCAGTGTTCTTGAACTGCAAGAATTACGTATGTGTTTAACTTTTTTTAAATGGAAAAATATTTATGCGAAGTATCTGCACAAAGATGTTCAGATTTTTATTACTTGTTCGATTTACAAAGATATTGATTGGTAAATTTAGCTGAAAATAAAATCTGATGTAGAAACTGATAGGATAAAAAGTACCACTTGCGGTAATTGATTGCGAGATTCTTGAGCATTACTCATCCGCAACACTTGCCGTAGAGCATTCTGATCAATGTCACTACTTGCAACAGTACTGTTCTGCATGGAAACAGTAGTAGCATTATTAACGATAGCTGTTGCTGCGGTGACAGTAGCATTGCTGTGTGCAGAGCTGTTGCTTGTGTCCGTGTTTACTTGAGATGTTACTACTGGTGTAGGCGTGGAATGTGCAGGTGGCAAGTTGAGTGCAGAAGAATTATTTAATGAATTATGCAGTGATGATGCCTGAGCTGCCATAGATTTCAGCGTGGCAACCTAAAAAACAAAATAATAACGTGAGAATTTTTACTCTATGCTTAGCACTCAAGAAAACAGTAGACTGACTAGAGATGATGGCACAATAAAAGTCAATAACACCATGGTACTCGTTTGATTCGCGTATCAGGATCATCTCCTGCAGAATATGATAAGCTCCTTAGTAAGGAAAACTACTTCTATAAAAATCCTTACGAAGCTTACTAGAGATATCATGGAAAATGTCCCACATGTCTCCACTAACCGTTGTATTACTTTGTATAGTAGTCAATCTCTATTGAATCTTGTCAGATTGCTAAACCCTTGCTAAGTTTGATAACCACATAAAATAAACCTGTTAAACAATCTTCATATTTGATACTACGAAACAGTTTAAGAATATTTACATGTACTTAATTACTGAGATAAATTATGTCAGAAAATAGAGAAATTTACTAGAAAATACAATGATCACTATTACTCAAGATATCACCAATGTCCAACATTACTTGAAAACATACCTGTATAAATCAAATTTTCTCCACGATTGCAAAAGCGTCTTATTCAAATCTTTTAGTGTAAAATTATATAAAAAATTCTCAACCGGCATTCAAAGTAATGATTAATTAAAGCACTATGAAGAAAAGAAAATCATTACAAAGCTCACTTCTTGTTGTTGCAGACTGCTTGCCGAACTTGGGACGGAGTACCGCTTGGCGACATTGGACTCTGGTGTTGATGGTCGAGATATTTGCAAAACTGCTGGACTTACAGCTGCTGCCGCTTGAGAAGATACACCCTGCAAAGTATCATGCATCACTTTTTTCCTGACAACGCAACAATGATTACAATCGAAATAGAGAGACTGATCATTAATAAATATCAAGAGAAAGTATTTTCGGATCATTTAAAACCATAATAACAAAGGTTAAATTAAATGACCCTACTTCGGCATTTTAATACTTCACATCCCATACAAACAAGAGTTATATTTTAACCAACTTCAACTACTATTATTTCATACAAACACGAAAATCTAATAGACTCAACTTTTTCAGTGAAATTAATATGTTTTTAGATATTCTTTCCTATCAATTAGTATATCGGATTTACCGGCCGCAATTTTTCATGGTACAGAGGAGAACATTTTATTACCTTACTACAGAGGAAGCAACTAATGAACAAATAAAAAAAATGATGAGACAAAATGCGAATAGCACCAGAAGCTAGCTTTCGTGCTAATCCTTTCTGTGATTGTAACTATTCTAGAATGTTGCTTGCAGTTCTTATCACGAGGAAATTTATTGGTTATATTAAAAGATCAATAGAATAAGCATGGAAAAATCTTTTTGTGTGAAGTGGTCTCAACACTTATTTTTTCTTATGATAATCTAATCTCAAAATATTGAATAAATATGAAAATACTGGTATATATCCCACTTGCATGCACCAACCTCCTGTCTCTATTTTTTCAATTAACTGAGTTATGCATGGTAGTTAACAAGTTTGCTGAGAATTATTGAACTGCTTACAGTGGAAAAATCGAAAAGTGAAAAACTTTATTAGTGCACGTAATTCGATGCCTTCCTTTTAAAGAGTAAATTCTCGATGAGTTGGCTTTCTTTTTCAAAGTTCTGACTTTTTCAATCTGATTTCAATCATTATTAAACATAAAAAATGAAGATAACGCGGCGTACCTGTCATTCAGATAAATAATGGAATTTACCATGTGGTCATTTCTTATGCAATTGAAACTCATTTTTTAAGTAGCCGAAAGAGGGAATTTTTTGGCGCCAAATAGTGACTGTTTCAGATGGAAATGATACTGAATTGAAAATATCATAACCTAAATAAGTTAGCTGAAGGATAAAGGATATAGATAAATTAGGTCTGAAGAAATTATTTTCAAGGAGCGGAAAACATTTTCGCGCCCAATAGTGAAGGAATATCAAGCCCATTTAGTTCATAACGAGTCACTGCTGAAGTGTGATGTTAAATAATAATAAAATATGATACAATGAGTACACTAAACTAGAGCAAAGGGAGAAAAGCTGGATCCAAGAAAACTATCACTTGCTTACCACACTGCTGCGATTACCTTTCGCGCACTGCAATCAGCAGAGGACCTCAGCTGATGCCTCATCAACAATGCAAACTTACTAGCGGCGCCCTCTTTCGCCCCATGCAGTTAGTTAGCAGTAGCAAGTATAGCTACATCTGCTCCTTCTCTCATTGTCGGCCTCCCTCTCCTCCCAGTCTCCTTCACTCCTGACAATGCATGTTTAGCAAACTATAATTCCCGCCAAAAAAAATTTGTAACGGTAACCATTCTAAATTACCATTACTACAACCGTCAAATCCCGATCAATACTTAATTACTCTTGCCTCGAATCGTAAACAAAGCAGTATAAAAAAATTTTCAACATAACAACTTAATATTTACTTTATTCACTTTATTCACTCCAATTCCCATTCTTATCAACGCAGTTATTTTCTATTAATACCGGAATGATTTTTATTAGGTTTACACTCACACCTACTCTAGCAGCTACACTCATTCTCTGGTCAATAATTAAAGAAAAAAAGAGAGCATAAAAAAATCTTATCTACTTTAACAATTTACTTACTGAGCATTTATACTAGATTTCAAGATTCCAGTACGTATAATACATGTTTTTTTGTTTCTTACTACTCTAAAAATACAGATTCCAAGCAATAAATAGTACTGAAAATGCGAAAAACAAACTGATGGCATGTCAACATGCAGTGGCGCTGGCATAGCAGTATTTTCATTATTCACTTGAACTGTCTGCTGTTGCTGCTGCGGCTGCAGTTGCTGCTGCTGTTGTTGCTGTTGTTGTTGCTGCTGCACCCCTATATTAGCTCCCGCTGATACTGTTAAATGATGCTGCTGCTGCTGCTGCTGCTGCTGATGTTGCTGTGGCTGTTGGGTACTTGTCGTTGTTGTTGTTGTTGTCACAGAAATAATACCCGGTGACTGTCGCACTACTTCAACACCTTGTTTCACACTAAAAGTTCTACTTCAGTTATCACCGCTATCACCAATATAACCACATCAAGTAATAAGAATTCTTATTTGCTCTTTTCTGTTTCATTTTGTGTATTTTCCTCTATTTCAATTATCGATCAATTTCTTCCACTGCAATTCAAAAATCTCTCTTTAGTCGTCTCTCTCATGATTATCTATAAAAAACCCATTCGTTTAATTTAGCTAAATAATTATAATACATCTACTGACAACTATGTATAATATTAACAATTGACTGATAAATAAAAGCAACTGTGTCAAATTAAAAAGCTAAAAAAAGAAAATACACATATGAAACAAGAAAGAACAAATGAGAATTCCTATTACCAATTATCAAACATGATTCATAGGAAACTTTCAAAATATGTGTCTTCACAACGACAAAAACCTATTTAATGTTTGCAATTTTAGTCACAGTTTGATCCATTTTTCGTACTAAGGCATCATCTATCATATATGTTGAAAATTAAGAATTCAATAAACGCAAACAATACATCACTTACTGCAGGAAAGTTATTACATTATTGATCACTAACAGAGTCTTTAAGTTACTAATCCGACAACATAGCAAAGCCACAGTATTTTTGATCCACAATATGTAGTGAATTAATAGATTCTAGATAACTAACGACTTCATCCTCATCAACTAGGTGCTTCTTTACATTAAGAAAAAGAAACTGAAAACAAAAATTTTTCACTTTCAGTAGTTTAGTAACTAACGACATTATATTACAATCTTAGCTCCTCTAATTTTGTGCTGCAAGCGCTAAGAACTTATTTAATATGTGTCATGAAAGTTCTACAAACTTTTGCTTGCTTTTGAAATTAAATATCATAATCATACCCAACTGATCAAAAGCACGTGTTTATCGAAAAAGCACAAATACTTTAGTTGTATGAAAAGCATTTAGTATACACGCTCTTCCAAACTTATATTTCTAAAACTACTTTTTTTTATTCAAGTAAACATGATCAAAAGCGTTTAGTGTGAGCAACAGTTTCTTAAGAAAAATCCTATACAAAAGGTGACTAAATTAAGTCATTTTAGACGTAAACTACAAAAAGCTAGTTAAAGTAGGCACTAAATAACCATCTATTTCGAAACATTCATTCCCAAAGAAGCCTCACAATAGTGAATTATACTACCTTAAAGCATATGAAATAGTTATACTCATTTAAGAATCCATAAGAACCAATTATTGAATAAAAGCAAACAGATATCTACTAGCGAAGTTTTTGAACATTATGACTGTGCAAAAGGTAAGACTCTAATGATTACCAACGAAGTGCAGGGTGAACGAACACCAAATGACGTTTTCTATCGTATGCTGGTAGAAGAGGTGTATGTCTTTGTAGATTATAACGTCAAAAACAGTGAGTAACAACTCTTTTAAATAACATAAATGATGAACATCTTAAGGAGTCTCTTTAAAATTCTAAAACTATAAAAGACGAAATCTCAGAAGTAAAAGAAATTAACGGAACTAAAAAATATTCTGAAATAATATATCAGTATTATCAATTTTTTGCTTAAATCTAGTAATCTCGTTTGTAAACTGTAGTTCAAATAGCAAAGACACTACTCTTATGCATCATATTTTATATTAGATATGCTCATCAATAACCGCAATTCTGATCTATTCCACCACAAAAACTATAAAATCAATGCTGTTTTTTTTTATTTCATATATACGTAATATATAATTCATCAAACAAATTTCTTTCAGACAATATCTTCTACACTAGAACTTTCTTGCTGTAAAACATCAAGTGTAACTTTCGATAAATCTTAATGAAAGAAAGTACTTTTAGAGTTTTTTAATCTTCTTAAAACCGATGAAGGCTTGAAATATAACATTAAAAAGAAAATAATATCAGTAAACAACTGAAATACAGAAGCAAATAAATAGAGAAAAATATAGCCTAGTACTACAAAATTCCAAAATTACTATTACTCTGAAAGCGCTGACCTTTAAAAAACTGAATAGTCATTAACCCAATATACAATTTTATATTCCAAGACAAAAATACTAGAATGACAAAAGAGCATGCACATATAACAAAAATTTCTCATTGTCCATAAAATTGCAATTAGAGCACGAGAGAAAACAATGAACCATTAAAAAATATATAAACAAAACCTTGTTGCTTGCACAATATTGCCCTTGTTATTCTTTGTTCCTAATCCAACAGCTACGCTGTATGGTATTCCTGGAGGTGGTGGTGGCGTTGCTGGTGGCGGTGGTGAACTAAGCGAACTTTCACCACTTACTTGACTGAAAAAATATTCTTCACGTATAGCAAACAAAATTTTTTAATTGGCTACTGACTCATTTTAATTCGCTGTCGAAATAATTAATAGTGAAATACAAAATACCATTCTGATGAAGAAGTAAAAAGAAAATGAATAAAGGATATTGACACAATCATAATGACCACCCTGCACGAAGATCATAATCACTAAATCGATAAAACAGTGGGAACGTTTGACAGCTTTCAATTATTTTGATGAGTAAGAAACGCTAAACAGAAAGACGATAACTACAAGATCAAAATATGTCATTTTGTATCTTATATCTATTCTGTAAACGGTTCATTTTAGTAATGTTATTTGAACTATTCTTTCAAACTCATCCAAATAAAGGATGGCTTTGCAGGTATTCAATAAACACAATTTTGTTAATGGATTTTCAATAATTGACTGATATGTGCAAAAACTACCATGCATGCTAAAGGAATAGTAAACAGTGAAATCATCCCAAGAGACATTAGTGGTGAAAACAGTGATGAGTAGCTGTGCTTAATTCTGAAAGTGCAACTAATAATAAATATAATTACTACAGTTATTCAGCTGACAACATTACTGCAATATTCTAACTGCAACCCCAAATAAGCCTTTAAAATGTGAAAAATGAAACTTCATGTTATAACAAGATTCCAGAATCCCCATATTTAATTTCGCTTGAATTCTGATTCTGTAGACTTACGAATATATGAAAAAAACAAATAAAAAGGAGCAAATTTCGAACGAAAACGGTAAATATTTTTTCGTTTCATATGTAAACACTACATAAAGAAAATAAATTACAAAAAGATTAAAATTTTGTTTTTTAACAAGCAAGTGTTGAAGAAAAAATGAGAGATACCCAAAATGTTTCATGAATAATGAAGATATAAGTGAGAATGTGATATATAATTCGGATTACTGAATTGTAAAAGTCGATTCAGTTCTAGAAAGCTCATTGTAATTAAAATTTTATAGAAAAAATGTCTCATATGTATTTTCTACAACGAGTTTCCCTGAAGATTTGTTCAAGTCATTTAGAAAGATAGATTACTAGATTAAAATAAGTCATTTGAGAATTACAGCGATATTCAACGAGTAAAATACAAACTTGGTTAGTTTTAATGGAGTAGCTGGTGTACTCCTGCTCACTGAAATTTGCCTTCCTAACAGTGTATTCAGTTCGCCACTGACATGCCTTTGTTTAGTAGCGTTTTCATCCACTTCCTGAAAAACGCAAATACTTGAAAAAGATGGGCAATTTTGAAAAATCCAACTACTTCCAATGATATTGTTTTAATCATAGAAATTCTAATCTCAAAAACCTTGGGTAATACTGGAGCTGGAGAAGAAGCTGGTGATACTCGTCCATCCACAATGCTCTCCATTTTATCATCAGAATCAGCTGAACCGAATATAGCGCCACCCAATTGTGGAGTATATGACTGCAGGTCTAATTCATCATAAACTCCTGAAAAGATTAACATTTTTTGTAAAATCAAATTTATATATATATATATTTATTTATTTGTTTATTTATTTACAAAAAATTAGCTCTGAGCCAATTT